AGCACCTAGCATAGCCCACACCCCAAGTTCCCATACCCTAAGTAAGTCCCCCCCTTACCCCGCTGTCCCTAACACATAGTCCCAGCACCTAGCATAGCCCACACCCCAAGTTCCCATACCCTAAGTAAGTCCCCCCCTTACCCCGCTGTCCCTAACACATAGTCCCAGCACCTAGCATAGCCCACACCCCAAGTTCCCATACCCTAAGTAAGTCCCCCCCTTACCCCGCTGTCCCTAACACATAGTCCCAGCACCTAGCATAGCCCACACCCCAAGTTCCCATACCCTAAGTAAGTCCCCCCCTTACCCCGCTGTCCCTAACACATAGTCCCAGCACCTAGCATAGCCCACACCCCAAGTTCCCATACCCTAAGTAAGTCCCCCCCTTACCCCGCTGTCCCTAACACATAGTCCCAGCACCTAGCATAGCCCACACCCCAAGTTCCCATACCCTAAGTAAGTCCCCCCCTTACCCCGCTGTCCCTAACACATAGTCCCAGCACCTAGCATAGCCCACACCCCAAGTTCCCATACCCTAAGTAAGTCCCCCCCTTACCCCGCTGTCCCTAACACATAGTCCCAGCACCTAGCATAGCCCACACCCCAAGTTCCCATACCCTAAGTAAGTCCCCCCCTTACCCCGCTGTCCCTAACACATAGTCCCAGCACCTAGCATAGCCCACACCCCAAGTTCCCATACCCTAAGTAAGTCCCCCCCTTACCCCGCTGTCCCTAACACATAGTCCCAGCACCTAGCATAGCCAAGATGTCAAAATTTTGTATATTTCAAAAAGTATTGAAAATAAGACTGTTGGTTATTTTATTCAATTATTATAATTTTATGTTATATACATATAAGTACATGTAACTGTATGTTATTATGTAATATATATAAAATTATAAATAAAAATATTTTAATAAATGAGAAGTATTACATTATATATGTAATTACATATCTGCAAGTAATATAAATGCAAATATATTTTTTTTAAATAGCAATTGATTCCTCTTGATTATAACTCTTTCATATTGTTTATAATTTTCTATCACTATAGCTAAAAAAGTGGTAACATGTTACCACTTTGGTAGCATAACTGCCATTTTTTACATAATGAAAATGGCAGATTTGACTCTATATAGTGCGATTAGAGGCACAGTTGCCATTTTTTTTTTAAAAAAGACAGAGGTTCATTTGTTTTTTTTTGTTGTTATTGTTTTTTTTTTGCTTCACTGTATCCAATACCAGTATATCCCCTTGCTTTATCTGTGCCATATTAAATGAATCATTTTTTAAATTGAAGTAAAAAGAATTGAAATGAATTGAATAGAATAACTTTTTGCTTCAATTTATATTTTATTTTATGGTACCAGTACTACTATAAACACGTCCATTGGAACTTGCAAAAAAGGTATGGTATTACTTGGCTACTGCAGAGGTATGCAGTAAAAACCCTTTATCCCAAATGCATTTGATATGTTTTGAGTACTTCGATATATACTAGATGACCTTCTTTAATTCTTATCAATTTCTATAAATATATTAATGTTAGAGGGAAAATAATAAATAGATATAATAATGTAGTGCTTACCTTTATGTAATATGCTTGATAGCTTCAAATAATAATCTTTTGCTATAAATATATATATATATTAGAAAACAATATTAATATGTAAGCTTCTTATGTTATTAAAGAGTGTTAGAGTGTATACAAGACAAGTGAAAAAAGCAGTGAGTATCACTCAAAATTATTACTAAAGAAAACCCAAAAAAAAAATTTGATGCATATAATATAAAGTCAAGTTGAATCTAGTGGAGAACTGAATGAGTATTGTTTTATAAACACGAGATGTATATTCTATCAAAGTACTTACATAGAATATAACAATTATCAAGTATAACATAGCAGCACAAGAGTATTATTGGTTTTTTTTATTCTTTAAAAAAAGAATCTATTTTGCTTCATTTAAAAATTAATTGTATTATTGCTGCAGATGTTATACATTAGTTTTCAATGCTGATGACTATATAGATACCAATCATATAAAAAAGAGCAACGTATCTTTATTTAAAGAGAAAGGAAGTAAAAAAAACAAGAGAATGGAATAGAGAAGAAGAAGAAAAAATATAAAAACTGAACTAAAAATACGTTAAAAAATGTTTTGAACCAATCAAAACCTCCTATCATCTTCGGCTTCTCTTTTGTGCTGGCTCAACACTCATTTCTGTAGAGGAGACCTTTATAAAAAAGTAAAAGATTTATATTAGTTTCGTATTGACAGCATCAAACCAGCAGAAACCATGGCAACTCACAGCATATCTACCATAATAGGTGACTCACCACCATCCGTTTCAAACATATTATTAGAAGACGATAAAGAATTATTTGCATCTTGCTGTGTCTACAGATTTTTTTTTAAATGTTAATTTAAATATATGAATAAAATCTTTTGATTAATAAACTTACATTGTTCTTCTCTACCATTCTTCTTTTTTGCTTCTGGTTGTCACTTTTGAAGCTTCCCCGAAGAAGGCTTTTTTCACACCATATGATCTTGCATTTGTAAATAGCAAGGTTGTTATTCTTTGCCAGTATCTCCAATTGCATCATGTAGTGCTCCCAGTGCTTTGACAAGATATCTTTCCATTCTTTAAGGAAAGCAGAAAAGTCCTTGTCAATCAGATCATGCTTGATACTATGACTCAAAGTCTTAAGCTGTAGTTGCTTCATTGTCAAATCACTGTCCGAAAGAAGTACTAGTTGAGGCAAAGATTGTTCTCCCGGAATTTCTTTGCAGCATGCTTTTCAGTCCTGTTCGTGAAGCAACTGCAACAACAAATTGTTTTTTTGGGCTTTGTTTTTCCCTTTGAAATTGCCACCTGTGCCAATTGCTCGCTTGCCAAGCTGGTCAGGATACTCAGTGAATTGAGACCTTTTCATAGACTCAGCAACACGTTCAAGAGCTACCAAAGAGGAAATGGTATGCCATAATATTTATAAGGCAAGCAAATGTACTAGAATATAGTAAATATGTCTTACCATTTTGCTCAATGATGCTTTGTTGCATTATACTAAGGTATTCTGCGCTTACAGTTGAGGCAAATTATTTGCTAAACTGATGTCAAAGCTTGTGTATCATTTGCTTTATTTCAGCAATATCAATTTCAATTGTTATGACAGAGTTTATGATTGTAGTGCTTATATCAGATGTTTTTGAATTATTATTTTTTAAAAAAGATGAAGTGAATACATGTTGTACTTCCCATAATATATATATTTCATAATGTTTACTTGGTTAACTTTCTGAAAAAAAGATAAATCAACTTAATCATAAACATATGGCTGCCATGACATTTTCTTTAATTTTGGGTGCCAGAATATTTTACCAATTAAAATAATGACATCAGTATAGATGGACTATGTAATAGTAACACAATGTTTAAATACCATAAAGTTAACTAATTGTTAACTATTGATCTTTTAAAGTAAATATTATGATAGGTATACTTATATCATACTTGTCATCATTTTTGATCAAGATGTGTTTTAACTAATATTGTTTTTATTGTCTTTATTGTTGTATTATCAATAGAAGAATTTGTTTTAAAAAAAACATTTTGTTGCAAAAGAAAGAGTATATAAACCTCTCTTTTACATTCAAAGAATATCACCAAAATGCTTGTTATACTTTAATATCATATATTAAATACTTACCAAAATAATCAATATGTCTTTGTCTCACACCAATCAGCAGAGAGATAGATTATCTACACAAAGATATCAATGTGCTTAGTGTGCCCTGTCATTTTATAGTTACCAGCAGCTTCAAAATCATAAGAGAGTCCACAGAGGCAATTGTACAACAGTAGCTGTCATGGATCAGTTTATGCTGCATAATGTTGAAATACAACATGATGGAAACAGTACCATTAATTAAAATGAATTTGGTAGTGATTCAGATAATAATAATCAATGTAATAATATTGTTAATTTATCTGAATACTTATCTGATAATGCATTGTAGATTATGCTGTGAACACAATGAAGATCAACGAGGCCATTTCATACAAGTACGGCTGTAGTTTTGAGGACAGTGAGGGTGAAGCTCGCATTTACAATAGCAGCAGAATCAATAGCAATATCTTTACAAAAGCCAAGTTGATGAGTATTCATCTCTCTCAAATAATTCTTCAGCACAGAATTTCTATAGCAGCTTACAGAGACATTGTCTAATTTGTTAATACAATCATTCGAGATCATGATGAAATTATGTTGGGTAAAATAGAATATTTATGTTATCTTATACTTTAATTTCCAAATTTCTAACACGTAGTGATTTCGTTCCTTTTTTTTAGAACCTGGGACTAAGATCAGCCACCAAAACTGTTGATTCTTTGCTTAAGTCCAAGTCAAGTGTCAAGGGTCATGAGTATGATGTCTGTCTTAGTGGTTGCCTATTATATGTGATTAATGACAATTAAGAATCTTGTGTTGACTGTAGCCAACTGCAATACAAAAATGATCCTGAGCAAAGTCAAACGTCATCTGCTAGTATGAAGCTCATGTTAGTCTACTGCAAAAAAACATCCTATAATAATATGTAAAATATCTGTAATAGTGGACTTAAATATAATATAATAAGTCTATATTAATTTCATACAAGATTGTAAAAACAGACTTCTGGATTTGTGAATGATAATATTTTACATACTATTAGATAATGAATTACATTTGACATTTACATGCATATAGAATTGAAATGCCATAATTCATTAGTATTTTGGTTATATATTGATCTATAGTTATGAATCCTACTTAAATATATCTTTATATGGATCTGTTTTTTTTTAAATAACCAACTTTTAAAACGAAATAAACTTGGGTTCACATTTATTAATAGTAAAAAGCTTTGTTAAATAGGATTTAAATAGGATTCAAATAGGATCTTTAGAAGATTAAAGTTCTCAATTGCTTTTAAAAAGCTTGCTGACATAATTAGAAGATGACGCTTCAGGAATGGAATATCATAGAAAAAATGGGTTTTATTGATTTTTGAATGGTTGGAAAAACAATTTAACTATTTAATGTTTGCTACTAATACTTCTTTACATACACATATTTGGATAGTAGCATTTGTATACATGTCACAATTTCATTTATTAGATAAAATGAGAGATATTGATAACACAGTTTATAGTATACTTTTTCATCTTATTAGTTTCATATATCCAATAACTTTTTCTCTGGTTTATACTCCTTTGACCAAAAATAATTTTGTTGCGGCTTTTTTAGACTTTCTTAGACTTCTTTTGTGAGAGCTATATTTTGAACATTTAAAATAAAAAAGAAATTATCATTAATATACATTGCTTCATAGATATATATGTGAATACTTATATATAAAGACATTTTAGAGTATCCACGGGTAGAATTTTCAGAAAATAATAACACTAATTTGATTTTTAGATACTGAATAAATCATTAAAAAATACAAAATAAATACGCAGTTGTTAATATATAAAATTATAAGGGTGTACTTTACTTACATATTATAGGCGCGTGTTTACAAGATAGATTGTCAAGTGTATTGCTTGAACTAAAATTGTATTTTATTCAAAATATAAAATATATATATATATATATATTCCAACTTTGCAAAGTAGTCAATATTATCTTTGACTGAACCATGGATATCTTAATATATCTTTTATAATGTACAGTGAGGCATGGTTATCTATTCAAATATGCTCTGAGATATTTTGATAATAATGAGTCAATAGGTTATATGTAGAATTTTTAAAGAATATTACCATAGTGTTTTGAATACTTGCTAATAGTACTTGCTTTCTTGAAAAACCTATAGCATAAGCAGTATGAGAAGAGTATAGAATGCACGTTGGGTAATAAAAGTGTGGGTGTGAGCAGTAAACTTACCAAATTATTAAGGCAGCCAAAAAAAAGGATGTGGAAGAGAAGAAAGTGAAAGAAAAGAAAAAGGGGCGCAGTTATTCTATTAAATACAAATTTTGAAATATATGAAAAAGAAAAACAAACAAAAATTAGGACAAGTGTTTTCTAATAAAAATCAAATATAAAATCACACTTCTTTATACTCTTTAGTATCTAATAATGATAAATAAAATAAATATTGTATATTTTTATATCAGACAATTATTGGTATTAACTCATATGCACTTATTATAAAAATAATGTTATTATAATGATAGTAAGTATGTTTATTTTTACCAAGCCCATAGTGAACATCAAAGTTAACTGTGTACCCCAACAAAATGTAAAACATCGAGTTTAAGTAAAAATTGTGTATAAAAAATGAATAAATTGTATTTCTAAAATAATAGACTTTATTGCTTAATATGCCAAGATCAAAGACCAACCGCTCAAACAAATCCAACAACTCCACCAGCACCAATGGCTATGAATCTGCTGAGCAAATGTAATTATATAGATTTCATTATTATCATTATATTAACACTTATTACTCTTTTTTTAAATATCATATTAGTTCACCAAGTAATGTAGGGGAACTTTTGGATCTTATGGAGCAAAGAACCAGAGTTCCAAGCAGTGCTCCAATGGCTCCATCACCCAAAAGAGCACGCACAAACAATGAGAATGATCCATCTGAGAGCACTCATACAATTGAAGATGTGTATCAGAAAATTGACCAGGTGAGCACCTTCCTTTTGAGTAGTGCTCAAAATGTAGCTTCAAACACAGTTGCTACTATTGCAAGTGAGGTTGTAGAAAATGTCCTTGCTCCTGGACGTATTCCTACTGTAGATGTAAGTATTTAATGTATTTTTTTAAAGAAATATCTAATATATAAACCATAGCAATTGATGTAGAACTACATGTTTAATGAGAGCTTGTACAGTCAGTACAATGGATCAGAAACATGTTGCTCTGATGAAAACAGGCAAATAATTCAGTCTGTAAAAACCTACCTTAGCAACTAAAGCGAAGCAAAGAATCTACTACCTTCCACTTTGCACAAAAAAGTTGTGGCCCATATTGCCAACAAGAAGTCAAAGGAGAATAAGTCCAAAGAACAGAAGACCATTGACAACAAATCTTTGCGGTACCATCAAAGGTGCATAGAGATAATACATCATCTCTTATAAATGTAACCATATTAATAAAAAAACTGAATAAATATAGAGACTAGCAAAAGACAGCTCTTTGCTTTTGCCTCAAAAAAAGAGTATTTTGTGAAGACGTTTGGAGAAGGTGGCAACATTCTTCTTCAGGCTGATTATACGTCAGGTCTGGACTCTGACAATGATAATGATTCTGGTTCATCAGGTTGTTTTTGGCGATTTTGGCCAACATGGAGAAGCGATGAGATACTATATAAAGAGATAAAATAGAAGAATTGTTCAGTAATATATATATTCTTGATTTTATAGGCTGACAAATTTGTTGATAAACTTGATACACATTATGAGTCTCTTCCAAAAAAAAAGAATGCCAACGCTTTTTCCCACGAGCTCAAAGGAAAAAGAGCAAAGGTGCTTGAAAAGAAAAAATGGATATACTGCCATCCTAGTCAAAAATTGAATAAACTTTCTTTTTTTAAAAAAAAAATCGATTCATAAAAATCTTTATAAAATCAAAGGTTGTGTTTATTTAGTTATATTATGCTTCTATTTTCTGAAGAAAAGAGATTACTAAACGGTTAAAGTCACTGATTATATTAAGTCTATACCTAGCAACTGCTATTGGTGAGTATAGACGATGTACTAGAAGAATGTAATCATGTTTCAGAGTGGTTAAAGGCTCATTCCATAACGCAATATTTTCTATCATCAATGATTAGTGACTTCCTGAAGCATAGCTCATATACCACTCTACAAAAGCAAATGTATGAACAATATCTTTGTCAGTGATGTTCAAGGTATGTTGAAAGAGATAGAGAATGCAGTCAGGGAATGCTGAAATATCTTTGCCTTTGTGTTCAAGAAAAAAGGCTTAGAAATAAGAATCAAAAGAATATTCTTGTCCAAGAAATGATATATGTTTGATTTTTTCAATTTGGTTGTTTACAAAGATTTGGCCTGAATGGTGGTCTGAGTAATAGGCAAAAAGATTGTGACTGTTATACACGTGGCGGTAAAATTCCAGTAAACAATTATAATGTTCCTTGCATATTGTAATCATCTTCTCAAGCTTTATTGGAAATGTTGCTGGTGGTAAAGGCTTCTATTCTGAGGATAACTTGCGAGGGTTTGAAGAAAACTCAACAAACTGAGGTAAATTGAAAGCGCTGCTATCAGATTGCAAAGGCAAATGAGATTGACTGTTGGAAATGCTGTGTAGGAAAGTAATAATAAATTCGTTAAGACTGGTTGAAAAGGTTCTGATATAGCTGCCAATGTATGCTTTTTCAAGAAATCGCTTCATCATTGTTGACTCAAATCCACCCTTCTAATTTGTCTTGAAGTTTTTTAGCAAACCATTATATTGCTCAAAACTAAACAGCCAGAATGCATAAACAGGATCAAAATCATTGATACACTTGCTAAGATGAAGATGCAAGTACATGTTTGGAGTAATCGCTGGTTTTTTATAAAAAGTCTGACATTTGGTACAAAGTTCTTGAAGATACTTGTGAGCTTCTGCAGTTTCTTTGACAGTTATGGACGGCTTAGTTAGCAGACGACATGCTTTTATAAAAAGCATCCAATTGGCAAGGTGGACGGCAGGAATTACGCACTTCAAAACAAATGGAGAATATATTATGCACCACGACTTCCACTCGTCAGCCTTCATAAATGAGAACCCATCACCAATTTTCTTTGTAATACGAGCATACCCAGAAGGTACAACAGCTTCATCAGCAAGTTCTTGCATAGTCAAAAAATCCTTGTCACTGATCAGCTTGGAATCACGTCAAATGTTGATCATCCGTTTTGCAGTTCCAAGATGGAGATTGTGCATTGTATCAATAATGGTACACCAAACTGGAGCAAAGTACGTCAATAAGTGAAGCTGAGACCACCGGGTACCATTCTCTCTCTCCAAAATTGTTCTTGCATTGTTGTTTCGTGCTGTTTTCCATCTGAAATCATCTCTGAAATTTGTTGCCTTTGTACGCTTTATCCACATCTTGTAATCGAATCCAGAATAATTGAGCTTGGTGGTTTTTTTTGAAAGTTTTAAATTGGTGTTGACATTGGTGACAGGCGCACGTGCTCATACGACCAGTAAATCCAGACGTTTTTCTGGCAGCAGGAATATCGCAAGCAACACACATCAAGACAGCATGAACAGTTATCTGGATATTTCTATAGTCTGTCATTGATACACTGGAATACAGGTCTATCAATTCGGCAACAAGGGGCTCCAAGTAGTGGTTCATGCTATCTGTGCTTGCTTCTTTTGGTCCTGGCATCATGCCAACAAGAATGATGTTTTCTGGTTTAAGACGTTCACTTCACGAGAGATTATTGACAGACAAGTAAATCACACCACTCGAGTGGGTTTGGCCATCAAAAGGTTGAAACCAATCGATATTTAATGTCAGCATCAGAGATCGGAAATCATCAACAAACATTGCACCATTGCTGTCTTGTAGATCATTCCACATCGCACCGTCATAAATATCAAGTTTTGTATTTTCTATTGTTGGGCGGTTTCTCCAAAGATTAATTCTTTGCTCAAAATCTGGTTTGGAAAAATGTTGCTGTAATGTGTGCTTAAGTGAGTTGTATGGATACACTATTACTAGGGAAGAACAGCTGGCAGTTGAGAATTGGTATAATGGATTGTTACAGATATTTGATTCAGGAAAAAGTTTAAAATTGCAATTCTTTATGATTGTGCCTGGAGGATATATCAAATGGCATTTTGAACATGTCACGTACACTGTCATTCCTTTTGTTGCTTTGTCAAAACTGGTAATATGTCTTAGGCTGTTGGTTGTCAAAGGGAGAGAACCAGCCAGATTGCAAATAGAGAGAAGATTGTTGCAGAACTCAATATGAATATATCCACCATTATCCACCAAAAAGATCAGGTGAAATATGACAATGAAAATAGCCACGAAAAGAATATAGATAGGCATGCTATTTACTGAAAACTCACAAACTATAAAGACAAATGATAAGTTAGATTCACAATCCAGCTTTGCAACAAAAAAAAATATTGATATCATAATATTTCATACCTCTAGAAGTTACAGAACTCTCAGTGTCAACATCCAAAGTCTCGCCTTGTTTGAAATCGAAACTTGCATTTCCTTCTTCAATTTTATCGCTATCAATTATAAGTGATTCAAGGTTGATGTCTTCAGAAAAAAATATTGACTCTTCTTGATGTGCAGATATGAAAGCTGGTAGTGAATATTTATTATTAATGAGTTAGAATAATACATTAGCATCATATTTAAGAATAAAGAGTAATAGATTTTAATAATCTTTATTTAAAAATTATATTATTTTATTACATTCTTCATTATCACTATAATCAGAATTTATATTGTCTTCATAATCATTATCAAAGATAAAGTCTTCTTCCATATCAATATCTTTATTTTGCATGTCTATATAATATATTTATTAATATCAAATCTATATACATAATCTTAGTTTTATTGTTTTTTTTATTTACCTGTTGTGTTGGCTGCAGAAACTAGCAGACCATGTTCTTCATTAAGTCGTTTTGTATTTTGTTTTCTTTGGCGCTTTCCAGAAGGGCTGAATGCTATGCATTCAGGACATTGACAGAAAACGTAATTGTTTTTAATTCGATTGTTAGATATGGTGAATATTTGAAATAATAAAAAGATATAGATTTTGAAATGTTTTTACCGAGATCTTTATATAGTGAAAAATAACTTATAAATAAATACAATACTGCTCCACGTCATGCTTATACTCTGCCAAGTATTTCTTCAAGATACCTACTGCACACTTTGTTATAACTGCCTTCACACTTTGCTAAGTCATTATCCAAGACATTTAATGTGCACTTCATTAAAGTCACACTCTTTTTGATTTCTCTTTTTTTAAAAAAAAACTATATTTGGAAGGATAAGAATTGTTCATTAAGATAAAAATTCTGAAAAAGGAATATTCACATCTCACAACATGTGAGTTAAAAAAATTGCTCTTTTTGCTCCTTTCCATTGAGGGAAAGAATCATGCGAAAATATTACCACAGCAAATATGGAATTACATAACCTCTTGGCACATACTCAAAATAATATCACTCCAAATTTTTTATCCAAAGAATTGCTCTTCCATTTACATTTATTATATAAAAATAAAAAGAAAAAATGTAGTTTATTTTATTTTATCTAAAAAAGATGTATTATATAAAAAATATTTTACTTTTCTTTAAGTATATAATTCTTTTAATATAAATATTTTTTGAGTATAATTTACAATGATATTAAAGACACATAAAATGCAGAGGGGAAAGTGATGCTGGTATAATTTTACAGCTAAAAAAAACAGATTAAAAATTACAATCAAAAATAAAAATATAATTTTTAATTTTATTCTTTTTTGAAAATTTAACAACACTAATAAAACTATATTGAATTGTGAAATTGGCAGTCTTTTGCAATAGTCAGTGATATGTTTTCTTAAATGCTGACTGATTCAGCTACAAGAGAACTCCTCCGTCACAGAATAAAACTGGGAATCTGTAGCTGGTCAGCTTATCAATATTTTTGATGGTGACAATTACAAGCAGTTGGTGCAGCAAGACCTGTTCTCAAATCTCAACAATATTGTCATTCTGCTATATAGCAATGGTTTTGTTAACCGAAAAATGGGCAAGAGTTTATATATCATTGTTCATGCTGTTGTATTCAACCTTGACCCATTGATAAGATAATAAAACAACTTATATATTAATTTCAAAAAAAAGTTACAAATAAAAAGCTTAGATACACAAATGAATAACTCTTGCAGCTGGCAATCTTGGCTGGCCCCAAGAAGTCTACCCACTTGGACTTTTTCTTGATGCCAATCATCAGTGAAATAAAAGATCTTGAGATGCATGGCTTGGTGATCAAGAGCAATGGGGTTGAGGTTTCCCATGCCAAGATCCACTTGTTGCTTGCTTCTGGTGACATTCCAGCTGTGGCTGACATGGTGCACATTGGCTCACATGCCAGTTTGTTTGGTTGTCAAATTGGCAAAACAAAGGGGAAAGCCCCAGACATCAGATGGCACGGAATGTACTTTTAAGATAGTTCTGCTCACTGGACAAATTAAAAAAATAAGGTAGTTTAAATATGGGGTATAGTGTAGTGTAATTTCCATATTTAAATTAGTTGATTTTTTTTGCACTTGTGCTGAAGGTGACCTTCACAGATAGTGGAATGACTAGAGTCAACTAGCAGAATTGTGGGTGGGGGTGCTGCAGGTAAGGTTTGTTAGCACTTTAGATATACTTATCTGACTTGATATATAAAAAGAAAGTTTTTTAAAACTGCATATCTATTTTGATATTCTTTATATGGAACCATAAAGGTCAGGCACCGACATATTATGAAGATTAAAAGTAGCGTAAAGGTGACCTTTAAGCTAGTTTATTGTTAAGAAGTTTGGTCATCAGCAGCAAAAAAAGGCGTCTTTAAAATTATGGACCAGTAATATGTTCTTTATTTATTTGGTTTCCCATTCTTATTAGGCTGGTAATGGTTTACGCTTTTATTTTTATTGGAAAGAATAGAATGTTTCTAGGTTTCAGATCTAATAATACTATTCTATATCTCTAGCTACTTCTTGCTCGGTTGGTTTGTTATATTTTAGATGAAAAATTTTCTACAAAAAAGAAATACCTAAAAAAAAATGAGCTGCTCAATACGTTTTTTTTGGGGTACGAGCAGTACTCTTTGAGAATAGATAAATCGTTAGTGATGGGTGTGCGTGTGTGTTGGATATTTCAATTCTTATAAACCATTAATACTTACATTGGAATTATCCAGTACAAAGACCAAACAATAAAATATTACAAGTAAAGCTACGGAATTTTGATTCCTTTGACTATGAAAATGATTGGAAAAAATTAATTTTTGTGAATTGGGCGATATAATTATTAACTTACATACCCAAATCAAACGGATTTATTTGTAGATATAGATAATACTTATCAAAAGTCGATATAGTATCTGGTAGTTTTTTTATTAATAAACAGTATAAGTAATATAATGATACATATAAGGATAGTAAAAGAACAAAAAAAGTCTTACCATGTCAATGACAGCAGCATGAGATAGAAGCTTTTGATCCATAGCATGTTTTGGAGAGGATTGTTCATCTATAGTAAAAATTGGATTCAGTTTGATTAATATTAAAGAGAAATATAATAAATAAATAGATAAAAATATTACCGTGTTGGTGGTCGTGTTTAGCTGTAGAAAATATTTTGGGTGATATGTCCTATAAAAAAGAAAGGAAAAAATCAGGATACTTTTATGAGATGATGGTATGAAGTATATTTACTAACCTTAACTAATCCGGATGGCCATTGTGAAGAGGATGCATCAGAAGGAAACTATACGCGAGTGACTATGGTAGCAGAAACACTTGTTATTACTCAGCTATATTTGAAGAAATTACTAATAAAGAAAAATAAAGAAAAAAAGCACCTTACCAGGAACATTTGCAAGTATAAGAGTAAAAGAGAAAGAAAGAAGTAAAAAGAAAAGAGAGGGCGAGTGTCTATGGCAACTGAAACAACTAATTCTTTTTAGTTATATAAAAAAAAGTACTTTAAAAAAGCAGATTAAAAAAAAAGACTAATAAAAAAATAAAAAAATGGGTGGAGACAGTGACGAAGAGTGTGTCTATGGCAACAGAATAAATAAATTCTTTTATTTTCTATAAAGAAGACTTTTTAGAAAGAACATGTCTTACACAAATAGTTCGCAAATATAATAGAAGTTGCAGAGATAGAGAAACAAAGAAAAGACCAATAGCATATATAAAGAGCAAAAAAAAAGAGAAACAGGAACAACAACAAAAAAAGAAAAAAAAGAAAAAAGAAAAGTGCATTTGAAACAAAAGACTAGACTGGTTTGATCAATTGGGTTCTAAAGCAGTATGAAAGCCGATTTGCATCTCAGTGATTACAAGAAGTATTAATAGAGACTTATATATCAAAGATATGCTGAATATCTATATAAACCATACATTTTATACAATTTGTTTACTCTTTCTCCTGCTTTCTTGCTACTTATTGCACTCATACTCAAACACACACACATCAACCCATTTTATTTCAAATAATTTAAGTATGTAAATTTGATATAATTTATTTTTAATTCAATTCAATTCAATTGTATAATAGCATCAATAACAATGTAATCTAAAATTAACAGTTACATTTTTACCTTTTATTATATTCTGTAGACAATGACTATTCAAAGACGTCAACTTGCTCTTCGTCCCGTTGAGATTACAAATGAACAATTGATGAAAATTCTTTCTACTTTGAAAACTAATATGACAGCCATGGGAACCAACATGGCAGCTGACATGTTGATTGTACAAGAACAAATCGGCACTGTTGAAGATACATTGCTAAACATGAATAGCAGAATTGGTGTTCTTGCCACCAGCAGCACTGAGACAATCACTGCTATTGACAGTTTAAGCAGGGCCCCCCTCATTTCTCCTACCAATACAATGGCTAATGTTTCTCAGTCTGCCTTCAATGCCCCGTCTGAGTTTAGCAAGAAGGCCTCTAATAATGTTTATGTGAGTATCAACGTGTGCAAAATTTTATCAATGTATTTTCTCATATATTCTATCAGGCCCATATTCGTAATCTCATGTGGGATCCCAAGCTGAAAACAAGAAATCAAGCTGATATCCTGGCAAATGAGAGTAAGCCCAGATGGAATACAAATGTTTTCTTTTACAAGTCGCCAAACAAGGAGTTGGTGGTGCGACTTCTTGAAAACTTGAAGCGCAAGTTTACCCATGAGGGATTTAGAGAGGCAGACTTGAGAACAAGACTGCACAAAAACTTCACCAGCCGGGTTTCAAAAGCAAGAAAAACTGAAGAGGAAATAAAAGCAACAAACACTCGTTCGAGAAGGGCAGGACGTGCCAGAGATGTAAGTGTAATCTCTAAATAAATAATTTCAAAATAATATAGTTTAGTCTTGAGAATTTTAAAAATACTAATACAAAAAAACTACTATTAGAATCATACTCGCCGTTTACTTGCATACACAGACAATAAAGAAGTAATTGATCTACAAATGAAGAGATATTGTGACTTCACAATGCAAATGGCAGCAATGTTTGATGGAGAATCTGCAGATGAAGACTTCGAGAATCGCACGAAGAGCATTGTCAAGATTGTTTGGCCAGGATAGAGAAGTGATGAGATATATTATTTTATATTAATAATTATGTCTTATTATAAAAAATATAAAGTGAAGTATTAACAAAATCATTTTAGTTCAATACTCTCATTAAACTCGTTGAGGAGTATGTTATTGAAGCAATGGGGTCAAGTGCTTCTCAAATGAAGGAGAGGGTTTTCACCAGTGTGTCTAATACAGCAGTCCCAGATGACATAACCCCCAAATTTTCTCAGTGGGCCCTTAGAGACGGGTATTAAATAAACAAAAATTGCCTCTCTCTTTTTATCTATATATTACTTTTCACATACAAAATACTATCAATATATATATCAGAAATACGCGCTCTGTTTTTTTTGTTAAAGAAAAAGAAATGTAAAAGTTCACTTTATTTATTATTTAAGCATATAGCTTCTTTGGCAATGGAATTACCAGCATTTTTCTAACATTTCTACTTGTTGCAATAGTAGCTGTAGCAACCTCTAATAAGATGCGATGTACAGGTATAATGCTATGGTAGCTATCAGGAGAGAACATGGGCAAACAAAATTCAACACCGTCATCCTCACGCAACCTATCAGAGGAAGTACAAAACCACTTGATAAATGCGAATACATGTTAATGATCATGAACCATGCGAGTCAGATGGAGATTGTGCGTGGGTGGAAGTTGGAAGGAGTGTGTAAAAAGATACTGAATTTGTCCAGCAAATCCAAGTATAATGTTTCCATTACTACCAACAAACTTTGCCTGAACAAGTGATCCATGACTGATTGTGCTGTTGTTTGTTCCTCGATAGTGTTGACCAAGAATGTCAATTGACTTCAATTTGATGATTTGATTGTCAAGTGCTGGGCGATTATAGGACGTGTCCTGATAGCTGGCAAGGTCTGGGAGGTTGTAAGCGACTTGGTAATATTCAAGTAAATGGAGATAGTCAGAATCATCCATTACTGATGGCTTTTTGTATTTTAGAGGAAATGTAGAAGGAGGAAGAGGCTCGTTACCCTTGAGTGGATTATAAGAATCAGTGTAGCCTTGAACAAATGCTTGCAATCTGAATGGGTGACTGGAGAGAGTGGTGACTGTGGTGGCAGGTATGGAGGTTGTAACAAGTTTAGACAGGGTGTGAATGAAGGGGATCTGGCTAGAACTTTTAAGAACAGCATTGACATAATCACCCTTATACGCATTCTGAACAAAATTTTTCATGTAGGTTGCCTCAAAACCGTCTTTTCCATTTGTCTTGAAATTCTTTAAAATACCATTGTATTGCTCAAACCCAAAGAGCCAATAACCATAACTAGTCCAAAATCACGAATGCATTCGTGAAGATGGAGGTGTAGGTGCATATTGCAGGTGAGAATAGTAGCAGTATAGTCTACGTTGCATGCATTACAAAACGTTTCTAACAGACTGTGGGCAGTGGTTATCTCATCAAACATAATGCTGAGCTTTATGTAGTATTGGCATGCATTAACAAAATACATCCAGTTCTTAAATTGTATTGGGGGGAGAATACCATGCAACAAGACAGGAGAATAAACTAGCACCCATGATTTCCACTCGTCCGCTTTCATGTAGCTGAAGCCCTTTCCAATTTTGGTTGTCAGTGTGGTGTAATCTCTGGGCAGTATTATTGTCTCTGCAATTTTCTTCATCAAAGCAAACTCTTCAGGTTTAATTGTCTTCTCATCTATCCACCAATCCATTAATCTATTAGGCGTCCCCAGAAAAAGATTATGTATGGGATCAATGATTGTTCCACGTACTAGATCAAAGTATCCAAGGCGTTGCAGCTGCAAACATTGAGCACCATTTTCGATTTCCAGCTGATGCCTTTCTGAGAGTGTACTTGCATCCTTCCACTCCTCAGCATGCAACCTGCTCTCTGCACCACTGCAGATATTCCAACAAGAATAATCAAATCCACGGAAATCAACCTGGTTGCTGCTTTCTAACCCAGTAAACTGCCAACTGCACCTGTAGCAAGCACATGTGCTGTTATGCGCTGTGAATCCACTTGTCTTTCTGGCAACTGGGATATCACATGCAACCATTAGTAGCGCAGCACGAACACAGACACCATTTGGGAATTCGTGTGTAGGAATCTGCATGCCAACGTACAGCTGCTTCAAATCATTTACCAAGGGCTCCAAGTAACTATTGATCTTGTTGGTTTTTGGCTCCTTTGGACCAGGTATGAGACCTACAAGGATAATATTCTCTGGCTTGAATCTTTCATTACGGGGCAAGTTGTTGATGACCAGATAGATAGCACCAGAGGAGTGAGTGACACCATCAAAGGGCTGGAACCAGTCGATGTTAAGTGTTAACATTAGTGAGCGTGGGTCCAACACAAATGATACACCATCCTTGTCCTTCAACTCCTTCCACATCGCACCATCATAGATATCGCACAGAGTATCTACCATCTTCAACTCCTTATTCCATTGACAAATCTTGGCTTCAAAACTAGGGCGACAGAAGAAAACGCTCAATGTATTTTTAATGGATTGGTAGACATATTCACGCTTTGCAACCAAGGCACCAGAAGATATGAATTTTGTCAAATTACAGTGGCATGCAGACCTGGCACCAAGTTTTGAGGAAACACATCGAGGAGGAGCAGACACGATATCCTGATATACTGTATGACAGTCTTGGCACATCACAAATTTCTTGATGCCTTTTGTAATAGCAGAAAATCCTGTCATTTTTTGTAAACCGGCAAGACTGGTTGGTAATTGAAAATCTTGGTCATAGATTCTCAGCAGGTTGTTGATAAACTCAATCAAGACAGCAGCACCCTTATCAACAACATGACGTGAAGCAAACAGTACCATAAAAATGGCTATGAATTGATGGACTTCATTTTCGGGCATATCAGAAGCAGCAAAAGGGTCTGTAAAAAATTAAAAAAAAATAACACTTGATTTTTCTTTTACTCTCTTTTTCTTTTAGTTTTCTTTATATATCTCACACTGACCTTCACTGTTGAAGTCCTCAATCTTGATCTCATTGACTTCATCTTCAACATTGTCATCGAAATTATTGTTGTCTCTGTCATTATCAAAGATTGAGGCAGCATCCAAAAAAGATGAGTTGGCCTGACCGTCCATTGCTTCCACAGAATCGGAATGAGAGGTCAGGATTACTACAAATATGGAATATAATAGTTAATTAGTTTTTTTTTCTGCTTTCAAATAAAAAAATTCTTACTCTCAGTATCTACATCCATGTTTCTCATTGCGGCTGTGTTTCATTAAAAGTTTAAAAATAAACAACATAAATAAAAAATAAAAAATAAAAAATTAAAATGATTATTATGCAGCAAACAAAAAACCAACACTGAATATATTATATTATTCTCAAATATTCTGGTACCTTCAACTCTAGCTCTCTTATTACAATGAGTCTCAGTATGCTTTGCAGCATAAGAAGATTTCTGATGACTGTTGTGACATTTAATGCAGTGACAGTCTAAGGTGTGAGTTTGGGTAGAGGAAAACATATTGTGTATAGCTTGAATTATAAAATAAAAAAGGAAACAAGTACTACAAATACTTTACTTGATGTGATTTTATAGCAAGCCAAAAAAATATGACTTTTTTATTATCTATTTAAACCAATATAATACGTCAAAAATACACCTCAACTTAAATAAAAAAAAATGGTTTAGCTGAAAAAAAACCCTGACATTTTCACTACCTTTCTCGTTACTTAAAACTATAGTATTTTATTTTATTTTTCCAGTGATCATTCTCGCAGATAATTTTTTATGTTAAAGCTTCTGTTTAACAAACGTATATCTTTTCATCTAATGTTCTATTAATATAGATTCTGCATTTTCAATCATAGAAAATATGCTTCTACTATATCCCATTGCAACTGAAGACCCTAAGCAACAAGCTTTCAACAAGCCAAATGCAAAAACACCCTATCACATTGAAAATACATTTGGCCTACTTGTGCAAAAATGTTGTTTTTTGTTGAGACACCTGTACTTTTTGGGTATCAATAAAATGGATCTTACTATCATTACTTGTTGTTGTCTTCACAACTTTTGTTTGGACAATGATGACAATGCAAGAAACATTCCCGAAGACACTTCATGATTTTGAAAACAAAATACAAAATTTTGATGCCTATTCAGACGGAAATGATGATAACGATGTGAAGATCGAAGTTGAGGATCTTGATCTATTTATTAACAAGATACCTGTAAATTTGGAGAATGCTTCACTAACTGCCAATTGTTCTGTGAGGCAGATTCAATCTGCACATGATCTTTCTCAAGAACGTGGGAGACAGAGAAGAGAAAGAATGACAGAGGTAATGAGATCATTAATGAACACCTAAACAAGACAATTCCAAGCTGATCTTTGAAAGCAACAAAGACAGCTAAGATGCCAGATAAGACAGAACAGCCAGTTGAGGGCAATCTCCAGAAGAGGACGCAGAAGAAATAACTCTCAAAATAACGAATAAAAAACCAACAAACAAAAGATACACAAAGTTTGGTTTTTATATTTTTAGTTTATTATTTTGAATAAAAAAGAGAAAAAGTCAACTAGCTATTATTACACTGCAAAAATTGCTCGGTTTACCCTATGTGAAAGAAGGCAGAATACTGATATAAAGAATTAAATTTCTCTGTAATTTAAACAATCTTGAGTCTAGTGTGCATTTATTCTTTATCCTAAATAATGAATACAATAGTTCTGTGGAAAGAATTCTGCTCATGAAGTCATATAGTTCTATCTTATAATACTGGCTGAGAAACTTAAAGCAAAAAAAAACAAAGTTCTTTATATATAACATTATATTTTCTTCTTCTTTAGAAAGACAGAAGACAGATAGAAACATTTCTTTATGATAGAAAAAATATGACTTTACTCCAAATTTAAGCAATTCTATTAGATCTTATATTTTAGACAAAGTACAATATATTCATTTGATTGACTCAAAAATAATTTTCTCACACTTCTTTATAAATATTTTTAGAAGAATAGTTTATGAACAGGGCTTTTATTTTTGTAAAAAAAATCTTGGATTATATTGCTTAATAATACACTTTATAGCTAACTCTCAATTATTGTGAGATTAGTTAGGCTATTCTTGATAAAGACGTAAAATATATAATAGAAGGTATTGTCTAATAATACGAAAAATAAAAATGTATTTTAGATATACTGCTGAACAGACTGCTGGAAACATGACTTGTATCATTGACTAAACAGAAAAAAAAAGTTAATTAAAATATCAAAGAAGGCGAGTTTTATTATTTCAAGAAAATATGCATACTTACAAACAAGTATGGTAACATTGTGCTTGTCGTATTTGTTTTATAAAAGATAGCTGTAAAGAATGTCTGGAATAACAAAAATAAATATTAGTATTAAAAATGAACTTATCAAGATAAACAGCATTGATAGTATTTTGAAAACAAAATGAAGAACCAGGCTAATATTTTAATATATTCAAATAAATAATATCAACAAAAAATGAAGTTAGTATAAAAACAAATATTATACCCTTTTTCATGCTTACCAGGCACATTACTGTAGTAGTCATTTACAATTGCATGCAAGACATATACCTTTTAAAAAATAAAAAGAAAATTAACAAAGAGTCAAAACCTTTTCAATTTTTTTATCTTTTGTTTAAGACAGGGATATATCAAGCCGCATGAATAACATTATCAAAAAGTAAAGAAGTGTGCTTAAAAATATTAGATTATTAGCAGGGCTAGAAATGCATATAAGCAAATAAACAGAGAGTAAGTATAATGAACATATTCAATCACATATTAACTGCTTACCCAAGTCCTTTGATAAAAACAAAAATAATAAAGAAAAGAAAAAGGAAAAAAGGAGGAAGAAAAATAAAGAAACAAAAGAAACAAAAGAAAAAAAACGGAAAAAAAAACTGAAAAAAAAGAAAAAAAGAGAAAAAAGAAGAAAAAACTGAAAAAGGATATAGAGGATTAAAACGGAAGACCCAAGTATTGTTTAATCTAATAGATATACACCAAGAACCAAATCAAGATATCTAAAGCTAATAGTAACACATATTATTTTCACAGTTGCAAGAAGTCTGTTGATGGTAAAAGAAAAGACATTTCTCACTTGATATTTTATAACAATCCCTTTCTTACTCTTGCACCGCTTTTATCTTACTTTGTATGTATAAGTATATGTAACCCACCAGAAAATAACACTAGTAATAATAATGTAGAAAATATATTTATTACAATTTTAAAATATTTCATATAGAAAATGGCCCCACGCACACCAAGAAACACTAGACGTATATCTACCTCCAGTGAAGAGAGTATCTCTCTTTCCCAAGTTATAGCTGGCCATGTTGGACGACATGCAATTGTCTCCCAGCCAGTACCTGTTTCCAGCAGTGATGAGCGCCTGAATCAGATGTCCTTGGACTTACAGGGCATTATTATGCAGCTTGTATAGATGAACTGCAAGGTAGGCCAGCTGATGGATGGCCAGAGAAGAAACATTGGTGCTGCTGCTCGGCAGGAGAGTATGCCAGCAAGCTTGCCAGCCCTTGCCCCTTCATCTCCTCTCTCTGTTCCAGCCATGCCTGAGCAGGAAATGGGCTCTTTGATCTTCGTAAATATATTTGATCCAACACAGTGAATAATGATCTAACAAATAGTATTTAGGTATTGATTAATAGAAAGATCTGGAAAAGGAACCTGAAGTTCAGAGACTCTTCTGTCATTGCTGAGAATGAGGCAAGAAGAAGATGGAACGTTACTGAGTGCATCAATCATCCCGAAAATGCTGCACTCGTTGATTATCTTTGTCAGTACATTCTTGCGCAACCTTGTGCAAGAGATTTCTGGTCCAGCATGGTGGTATCAAAAATCCAAAACAACTACAAGCAACATCATTGCTCTGCCCACTCCACAATACAACAAGATGCAACAAGACAGCGCAATGCATGCATTAATAATTGCATTAAAGAGATTATTATAAAAAAAAGTGTTTTATTAAAAATATATTATATTTACCTTACATTTTTTTGATTCTTGCCCATCATACGTATACGTACCTGACGAACTGGAGGTTGATTGACAATGAGATGGGCCATGAAGTTGGATTTCTTTCTGAGATATCGTTCCTCTATCTCTTGCAAAAAGATGTGATGTCACATAGTGAGTCTGACATGAAAGACATGAACGTTGAAACTGTATGTGTGCTTAGGGTTAAGCATCCCAGCTGGAGAAGCAATGAGATAAACTATTTTTGGTTACACACTGATGATAAAATAAAGATCTAATGAAATAAATATAGCTGAATCATTTTGTGGAGATTGTGGACTTTGTAGCAGTACAAACTTGTTCAGACAAGTCGATGTTAAAGTCGAGAGCAAGAATGCCTAGACTTCAATTGGGGGAAAAGAATGATGTTGTCTCTCGTCACCTGATTTCGTCGCTCTCCCCATGGGCAATTAAACAATAATTTTTTTTTGCTTCACAAACACATGCGGTTTTTGTGCTTGAATGATATATAACCAGACTGAAAGCAAAAATGATATTAAATAGAAATAAAAAAAAAGAGAAATATATTAATAAATAAAGTAAAATAGAATAAGATAAAGAATATATAAATAAAATAATAAAATATAGAAAATAAATAATAAATAAAAATAAAAGGAATTAAGCATATATTTTTTGCGGCAAAGGAATTGCCATCTTCTTGTTGACATTTCTTGTTGTCTTGTAGTCAACAATTGCGACTGGCAGAAGGATACGATGAACTGGAAGAATAGATTGAAAGTTCAAAGAGTAGAAGTCATTTTGGTATATTTCGATGCCTACGGATGTCAGATGTTGTTTTGTACCATTTGACAAAAGCAAAGGTATGCTGGTGATTGTGATTGTAAAGTGTTGTGGGAGAGTTTGTGGGTGTGAATGAATAAACGAAGATGTACTGAATCTCACCAACATAACCATAATAAGCATTCATGCGATTTTCTTTAAACAAAGCCTGAATATAGAAATCACGTCCATTGTCATTACATCCCTTGTAGACTTGCCCTAAAATTTCAATAGACTTTATAACTTTAATCTGGTTGTTTACAAATGCTGAACTTGTCATGTCATTCTTGCAACTAGAGATCCTCCTGTCATTGTACACAACCTGGTGTGATGATCCAGACACTCGGATGTTGGATTTATCACATATAAGAACATATTCATATTGGGATAGTGTAGTAGCTATCATCTTGTCAGTATAAAATATATATAAACAATTAAGTAATCAGCCCAATAATTATTACAGTTAGTACTGTAAATAATATCTTAAAGATTGTTAAGATAATTATATCATACTGCTGGGTAAACTGTGTCAGATCGATATAAAGCTAATTTCGTAGGAAGTCCTAAAGCTCTAGTGCAAAAGAGAAAAGAATAGCTAAAAGCTAAAGAAGTACAATTTATGACTTGATGTCATAATTGTAACACCGGCACTAGTTAAGCAGTAAATACACTCTAATAACCAAATATAGTAAAGGAAGAAAGCCTTAAGAAACTAAGACATAATGACAAGAGCAGATTGTGTTTTCTTATAAAAAGGGACACTTTTTATTTATGAATAAAGAGAACTTATATACAGTCTCAAAGTATTTCTATACGTCTCTATTATCAAATATTATATTTTTCTATTGTTTCGTACCTGAAATAACACACTATACTCATATATGTTCTATTAGCATATGGCATTTCCCTTGAAGTGTGTATCAGCAACCAATAGAATTTCTTTATCATTCATTCCAACTACACAATAGATTTGGTCCATGTGCTGGAACTATGAGAGAGGATCAGATCTTTTAGAACTAGGAAAGATTTCAGAGGGTATCAAAAACTTGGAATATGTAGTTCTTTTTCTTAAATAAGATTTTTTTAGATAATCAGCATGTTATAGTTATTGAATATCCTTGGCACAATCTTTACTGATGCAAGTTGAGTTATAACATATGATGCAACTGATCAGAAATATAATATGTATTATATGTATAATTATCTTCTTGTGATTTCACTCAAGAAAATCCAATAAAAAGGAATTTAGACAATGGACAGGACTTGAAATAGATAGAAACAGATATATAAACAATAAACAGATAGACAAACAGACAAACAGACAGCAAGACAAATGGATAAACAGACAAGCAGACAAATGGTGAGACAGTACATATAGATCCTAACAGTGTGCAACTTAGTATTTCCCACAGAACAATAGCTCAAGCTCAGTGATAATGTTCAAAAGAAATATAGAGGAAAACTGAATGAATTTTATTGAGATAATAATGTCTCTCTTATATACTAATTGACAACTGCATACAAAGTGACAATCTAGATACATCTTATGCTAAATGATGATTATTTAGAAGAGTGTACAGGTCTTTAGACATAATTACAAAAGGAAATAATCAAAAATAATCAAAAATAAAAATAATTAAACTACTAAATAATTTGAACTCTCGGGAAGCATACTAAAAAAGTAATATCAAGAAGTATAAAGAAAAAAGAGCAATACAAAGGGAAGCAAGCTAAAAAGAAAATAAAAATTAAGAAAAAATAGAAAAAAAGGAAAAAACATTTAAAGTCTAGTGGGAATTTAAATATCAATAGCAAGATAAAAGGAAAAAGAGGGAGAGAGAAAAATAAATCCAAGAAATTGGATTTTGTTGTGTCTAGAGATGGAGTCACAACTTTGCACTGTCCATAACTTAATAGTCTGTCCATAAGTTGATGTCACATCAAACAAATATATATTTTTGGTCAATGCTAAAAAAATTTCCAACACTTGTATCAATTATGACGCGTGATATGTTAGGTTTGTTATAGATTGTAAGAGATCACTTGACAAATAAAATATAATGATAATAGAATAAAACAGAAGATGGATACAGCAAAAGGTGGTAAGCAGCAATAGTTGACAGGTAAAAAAAGAGAGAACAACCAATAGAATCATTGTTAAAATCGAGAGAGAGAAAAAGGTATATGAAAAGAGAATGACAAAACAGAAAGGTAATAACCAACAAGGAGACCAAAACCAACAAACAATCTTCCTAAAACCAAGGAGCTGATATGTTATATCACAAGATGGTATATACTACAAAGAGAAGAAAACAAGAAAAAGATACTAAAACTGAATGAATGATTTATTGAGTTGAGTTTGATTCTCTTTTTATAGTCGACAAGATTTTAAGTTGATAATAGAAGTTCAGAAAAATAAAGATAATAAAAATAGAATGATGAATAATCAATACAGCAATGATAAAATATATGAATAAAAATATGGTAAAAAATATAATAATAAAGGTACTGATGTTGTGTGGAGATGTCGGCAAGATGAATTATTTGCATTGTAGAAGAGGAATGTTACTAGCATGAGGGACCATGATTTCGAATGAGTACAATATAGACAAATATGTTAACAAGGGAAAAGAAAAAATATTGTGTGTAGAAAGAACAGAGAATGGAAATGAGATTATTCCTGTGTGCGGAAAAATTCTCCTCTTATCACCGAGGGCACAGCACCACATCAACAAACCGTTGACGTCAACCTCTCATAACCGGGACGACACGTCACAACAAACTGCCGGACAAACCAACCGAGCAGACTGACCTTCCAGTACCGGACACCACGACATGACAAACGTGAACATAACTTACAACACACTTGATAAAACCGTCAATCTTCGATAGTATAGTGGTAAGTATCCCCGCCTGTCACGCGGGAGACCCGGGTTCAATTCCCGGTCGGAGAGTTTTTGGAAGTCTACATTTTGTCGTGCTTAATTTTGGTGATACAAGGTCTAGTGACTTGTTCTTACAAAAGAAGCAGGAATTAGAATGATTATTCATCAGTTTGTAATGTTAGAAATTTGTAATCAACTTATAATAATTTGTAATATTACTAGATACTACTTGAGTGTAGTTAAAGATAAATAATTATTTCAAAAAGTATATAAGATAACCCAAATCAAAATAATAAAAATCGTTTTCTATTCTCTCTCTTATTTGCTTACTCCTGTGTTGTTAAAGCTTGACCAATTTGGCTATGTTTACAGTGAATTAGAAGATAGTCTAGATCAGGAACGACATTGGATTGGTCTTTCTTTTACTATAATAAAGTCAAAAGGTCCAATCCACTGGGGATCAAGGAATATACGTAAAATCAAAGATAGCATAAAAGATACTTTTTATTGATATGAATTGAATTGTTTTATATAGTTTTCTAAACTAATACTGCACATTATCTGCAGTAATTATTATTTATATTTAATGAAAGAAATAGCCATTATACTGTGGTTAATGCTCAGGAAGATATTACTGCACATAAAAAAGTACTGCAGTTAATTATCTTCAGATTTTATGGATTTATCAAAATAATGTCTAACAGTGAGACAAGTATTGTTTTTGATCTGGGTTGTTCTTCCAATGCTATAATACAGCCAAAATTAGTCAAACCCACTGGGAATCGTGAACTAAGATAAAAAAATAAAAAGAGGTTAGAAAGATAGATAACTTTTATTGAATGAAATAATGCCCTCTTTTATATCTTTTCTAAACCTACCCAGTCATTATAAATGTCTGTTTCGGTTTCTATTCTATTTTTGTTAAGCTGTGGTTTCTAATTCTTTTGTGAGCAAAAGGAAATCACTTCGGTCATCATTCTCAAAAGAGAATTCTGTGTAATCGGCATCCTGATTGGTTGACAAGAATTCGGGGATGACATACAACAAAGTGTAAAAATGTTAAAATCTCAAAAGCTTCGTCGACTGCAGGATTTGAACCTACGCGGGCAGAACCCATGTGATTTCTAGTCACACTCCTTAACCACTCGGACAAATCGACGTTTGATAATTTGATATGGATTGTTGTTGAAACAATCTAAAGCAAACAATTTCAGTTGTCTGGCGGTGCAGTGACGTTGCAAAATTCTTTGTAATTCTAGAAAATTATATTCTATTATTTTTTTTGATTTTCCGACGGCGGCTGAGGCTGAATAGAAAGCAATTTTTCTATTCGTAGAGCAAAACACCAGTAAGTACAATAAAAAGACATCATTCTGTCAACAATAACTTCAGGTAACTACATATCGTATTCTATTTTCTCACTATATTTAACTGAACAAATTAACTTGGAATTAATATTACTTTTATTATATATTCTTACAAGCATAATTATCTTCATGATTATGACTTACTAATTATTTTATTTTATTTGTACTTAATGATAGTATGGAACAAATCACATTTAATAAATTGTCAATTATACAATTTTTATTATATATATATATATATTTATAATTTTATTTATTTAATTATTCAATAAGTCAATTGCAAAACTATAAATATCACAATACTTGCATTTAATAAACATTGATTTTGCTTTGTCTTATTTTCTGACAACAAGTTCTCTTAATATTTAATGCTGTTGATATTTTACTTGTTTGATTATCCGAGTATATTGAGTCAAGTCTATCAAGATTGAACAAAAGTACTGTTTTTCTCTTATTTTTCTCTTATTGATTTTATTATCTTTAATTCTACATTCTCTTTTGAGTTTGTCTTTTTTCTCTCCTGTGGAAAAAAGAGGTTATTTCATATCTACGAACCTATTCAAAGCTCAAAAACCGTGATAACATCATTTGTCAACATTTATCACAAATACAAACACCACACATATCAGTTTTCTGTACCTGCAAAATTATAAAGTGCAATGTAAACCAGTTTCTGGTAGAAGGCACCAGATGGTGGATTGCTTCAGTAGTTTTGTTCTATGGTTAGCCATAACAGATGATACCAGACTTGTGTGCATTGACGTTGATAGTGAGTGGACCAAGTGATGTGTCTCAAAGGACAGGAGTGGTCCCCCAGGTTCTTAGGAAATCTTGTTTCTGATATTTTTTATATTCAAACCCTCAATTATATTCCACCCTTTAAATAATTAAAATACCTATCTACATCATCACCTCAGAAACGCTTGTGACCCACTAAAAGTTATAATTCTTTCACTTAAATTTATACACTACTTTATCACTGATATTTATTTATAATATTTTTACTATATTTTTATTAGATTTCATTATTATACTATTACTATATTTTTTACTTTACTTCATTACATTGTTATTATATTATTATTTTACTTCTGTTGTGGGGAGAAAATAAAGCAAAATATAATATAGACGAAAGAATTTGTGAGAACTTATGTAGGTTGTTTATTTCAAACGAAAAGTAAAAAATGATAAAATTCGATTCTCTTTCTACACAGAACTATCTACTGATATTTATATGTTTTTCTAATTTGTAATTCAATGTGTGCTTAAGTAATCTTTATCACAATGAGTCATCTTCCAGGAGTATTGTTCTTCTGCAAAGATCCGGAAAGACCAATTGATATGATACTTCTCCAGTCAGAGCAGTCCAAGAGTTTTGGTAAAGAAGAGCATTTATGCTATTGGTCATATTTTAGTATTCCGACCCAGATACTCGGATAATGTTTCATAATATTAAATAGTTATAGTTGTAGTCTCTCAATTAAGTATTTGTATAATAAAAGAAATATGTAGATGAAATATAATGATGCCATATATATAATGTATATGTATTTGTATATCCCATGTCATGGTGATAATAATAAATAATTAATTATGTGTATGATGATCTGTGTATTAGATAATATTATAAAGGGAGATCCGTTTGACTGGAATAGCTGAGGATATTATTTTATCCTTCAGTCTTACTCTCAGATTCAGCAGTAATCAATACTCATTCATAACAACTTCTATTCTATCTCACTATATTTTTATTTTACCTTTATTTAATTATTATATTTTGACTATACTTTTATTTATCCTCTTTATATTTTTATCATATTTATCAATTCTACTTCTACTATAAACACTAGTTACATGTAGGGAAAATTTTTCACTTGACTTTCTTTCCTTTCTCTCAAAAATTATTATAATAAAACATTTTTGTTTATAAAAAGAACATCTTTTTCAATTTATAAAAGTATCATTCTATTCTTTATCTTATTTTATTTTGTCTATTATTATCAGTATTTTTTATTTATATACAGTGTTCTTGTTCTTTGGAGTGTTGTCTCACTATGGCTATAGGAGTGGCAACTGTGTCTGAAATAGGCACATAACTATCATTTTTGTGGTTGAAAGCCAGTAATTTCTCTGCAGTTTTTAGTAAGATGATAATGTCATTAGCAATCTTTTAAAAAAATAGCATGAAATCTGTTTTTTTTGTTGCTATATGATGTCTTGAATAGACTAGAAAGTGTTTGTAAGCTGTAATAGCTACGTCAAGTATTGAAATATATGTTTTATTTAATATTAAAGATGTCAAGTTTTATTCAGATTAATTTTTTATGAAATTTGTAAATGGGATAGAAACATAACTGTCATTATTTTTTTTCAAACCAAGACTTTTTTTTAAAAAAATATATTTCTCTTCTTCTTCACTTAACAATTTTATTTTAATTTAAATTGCATAACGACATGTAGAACATGTAGAGAATGAAAAAAAACATAAGGTATATAGAAAATAAAAATGATAATATAGAATACATGGGAGACATAGAAAAAATAAAAAATATAGGGTATATAGAGCATATAAAAAATAAAAAAAAGTTGTAAAATAGAAAGATTGCCCATTGTAATGCACATATTATAGTTGAAAACATAATAAGATGCAATTACATAGAACTGATTTGCATTTGGTGGGTATTGTATAAGACCAACTTGATGATGAATATCATTGACACTTATTACTGCATATGTAGATTGTGTTTGGCAACCTGTTGAGCTGTTTTGTGACTGCTGTTTGACGATTGGTACAGATGAGTCGTGGGCAGTCGCATCATATTCCTTCATTACTTCAACAAAATCAAGGAAACAAAGAGAGCCAAGTAAAACCTCAAGCTAGAAAAAGAATATCACCGCACCAATAAGCCAGCTGTAAACAATTATGTTACCATTGCTAAAGTAAAGAAATAAATATAAGGTAAGTAACTTTTGATTTTATATTGAAAAATGATATACTTACTTTCTGTAAGGACAGATAAACATCACGTAATGATTACTGCAGCTTCTTTCATTTCTTCTTTGTCAATACATGCAAGATGAATACATGGTCGAATTCATCCATAAACAACCAGAAACAACAATCGTAAAATCACCAATGTTGGAAATCATCAAACTCAAAGTTCATTGATAGTATCTAGTTAAGGCATCCTTCACACTAGGGTTGCTTACACCTTCCACCAAATCATTGTTCAAATGAGCAAATCGATGAAATGGCTCCCACAACTGCGCACCACTAGAATCATTAGGGAGATTCATATAACTTTCTCTACCATACGACTTGGGCTGAATAAGATCAATTTTGTCTTGGATACTGATGGTCGTGTTAACATAGTTATGCAATATAAATTGCTCCACAAGAAAACTGGCATTACGGCCGCCCTTGCATTTAGACTTGATCAGCTTGGAAAAGACACCAATTACTCTCTCCATTGATTGAGTGGAGTAGCATCGAAGTGGACCTAGTTGCTTGATAATAAATGATATATGTACAAGATAGTGCTGCACTGGTCTGAAGACACTACGAGATATAGTCTTGTTCTGAATTTGTTGCGATAGATAGTGGTGCCAGTGTTTAAAATGTTCATTGTTGTTATTATTATTATTATTTTAAAAAAAGTTAAGATTAGTTTTGTATATAGTGATATAGTGTTAGAGGCATTATGACTTACACATCCATCTCATCCAGCAACTCTGAAGTCAACGTCTATTGCAATGCCAGTGCACAACCTTTGACAAGTGACAGCACTGCAGTTTTCACAGCCCTATTTGACAAGAATGGAACAACAAGAGTGGGAACAAGATACAAAATAAAGTCAAGCCAATCAACTGCATGAGTACCATCAATCTTGGAAAAAACATTATCAAAACTGCCTTGGAATGATACTAGTATATATGGTCTTGAACTTGTGATGCAGTTGGCAATTGTCACAAGACTAGTTCTTGGTATGATAAATGGGTATTCTGTAGTGAAGAGAGTATCATCTGGACGGATATAAAATTTTTTTGTCTCCTTGGTAAGGGACACAGTGATCAAGTCGTAAATGTGCTTTCCAATTCCTCTTGCAACTAAATGAAGTTCATCCAGTGCAAAGAAGGAAGATCTGGAGATGGTTGACAGCTCACTAAAGATGCTTGGTTGGTATATATTTTTTTATCTATTATAAGCAATTATTTAGTACAAGAAAAAATCTAATTAAACTGTTATATACTTACAGGATTGCCGGTTTTGAAGTCTTCCAAAGGTCGCAAAGGAGCTACTGGAAAAATAAAAAAATACTATAGCTTTAAGTAACAAGAAAGATAGTGGAAATGTCAGGGGTTTTTTTCAGCTCAGCCGTTTTTTTTATTTAAGTTGGGGGTGTATTTTCGACGTATTCTATTGGTTTAGATAGACAATAAAAAATTTATATTTTTTTGGCTTGCTATAAAATCACATCAAATAAAGTATTTGTAGTACTTGTTTCCTTTTTTATTTTATAATTCAAGCTATACACAATATGTTTCCCTCTACCCAAATCCACACCTTAGACTGTCACTGCATTAAATGTCACAACAGTCATCAGAAATCTTCTTATGCTGCAAAGCGTACTGAGACTCGTTGTAATAAGAGAGCTAGAGTTGAAGGTACCAGAATATTTGAGAATAGTATAATATATTCAGTGTTGGTTTTTTGTTTGCTGCGTAATAATCATTTTAATTTTTTTTTATTTATGTTGTTTATTTTTAAACTTTTAATGAAACACAGCCGCAATGAGAAACATGGATGTAGATACTGAGGGTAAGAATTTTTTTATTTGAAAGCAGAAAAAAAAACTAATTAACTATTATATTCCATATTTGTAGTAATCCTGACCTCTCATTCCGATTCTGTGGAAGCAATGGACGGTCAGACCAACTAATCTTTTTTGGATGCTGCCTCAATCTTTGACAATGACAGAGACAACAATAATTTCGATGACAATGTTGAAGATGAAGTCAATGAGATCAAGATTGAAGACATCAACAGTGAAGGTCAGTGTGAGATACATAAAGAAAACTAAAAGAAAAAGAGAGTAAAAGAAAAATCAAGTGTTAACTTTTTTTTTAATTTTTCACAGACCCTTTTGCTGCTCCTGATATGTCCAAAAATGAAGTCCATCAATTCATAGCCATCTTTACGGTACTGTTTGCTTCACGTCATGTTGTTGATAAGGGTGCTGCTGTCTTGATTGAGTTTATCAACAACCTGCTGAGAATCTATGACCAAGATTTTCAATTACCAACCAGTCTTGCCAGTTTACAAAAAATGACAGGATTTTCTGCTATTACAAAAGGCATCAAGAAATTTGTGATGTGCCAAGACTGTCATACAGTATATCAGGATATTGTATCTGCTCCTTCTCAATGTGTTTCCTCAAAACTTGGTGCCAGGCCTGCATGCAACTGTAATTTGACAAAGTCTATATCTTCCTGTGCCTTGGTTGCAAAGTGTGAATATGTCTACCAATCCATTAAAAATACATTGAGAGTTTTCTTCCATCACCCTAGTTTTGAAACCAAGATTTTTCAATGGAATAAGGAGTTGAAGCTGGTAGCTACTCTGTGCGATGTCTATGATGGTGTGATGTAGAAGGAGTTGAAGGGCAATAATGATATATCATTTGTGTCAGACGCATGCTCACTAATGTTAGCACTTAACATTGACTGGTTCCAACCATTTGATGGCGTTACTCACTCCTCTGGTGCTATCTATCTGGCCATCAACAACTTGCCCCATGATAAAAGATTCAAGCCAGAGAACATTATCCTTGTTGGTCTTATGCCTGGTCCAAAGGAGCTAAAAACCGATGAGATCAATGGTTACTTGGAGCCATTGATTGATGATCTGAAGCAGCTGTACGTTGGCATGCGAATTCCTACACACGAATTCCCAAATGGTGTCTGTGTTCATGCTGCGCTACTAATGGTTGCATGTGATATCCCAGTTGCCAGAAAGACAAGTGGATTCACAGCGCATAACAGCACATGTGCTTGCTACAGGTGCAGTTGGCAGTTTACTGGGTTAGGAAGCAGCAACCAGGTTGATTTCCGTGGATTTGATTATTCTCGTTGGAATATCTGCAGTGGTGCAGAGAGCAGGTTGCATGCTGAGGAGTGGAAGGATGCAAGTACACTCTCAGAAAGGCATCAGCTGGAAATCGAAAATGGTGCTCAATGTTTGCAGCTGCAACGCCTTGGATACTTTGATCTAGTACGTGGAACAATCATTGATCCCATACATAATCTTTTTCTGGGGACGCCTAATAGATTAATGGATTGGTGGATAGATGAGAAGACAATTAAACCTGAAGAGTTTGCTTTGATGAAGAAAATTGCAGAGACAATAATACTGCCCAGAGATTACACCACACTGACAACCAAAATTGGAAAGGGCTTCAGCTACATGAAAGCGGACGAGTGGAAATCATGGGTGCTAGTTTATTCTCCTGTCTTGTTGCATGGTATTCTCCCCCCAATACAATTTAAGAACTGAATGTATTTTGTTAATGCATGCCAATACTACATAAAGCTCAGCATTATGTTTGATGAGATAACCACTGCCCACAGTCTGTTAGAAACGTTTTGTAATGCATGCAACGTAGACTATACTGCTACTATTCTCACCTGCAATATGCACCTACACCTCCATCTTCACGAATGCATTCGTGATTTTGGACTAGTTATGGTTATTGGCTCTTTGGGTTTGAGCAATACAATGGTATTTTAAAGAATTTCAAGACAAATGGAAAAGACGGTTTTGAGGCAACCTACATGAAAAATTTTGTTCAGAATGCGTATAAGGGTGATTATGTCAATGCTGTTCTTAAAAGTTCTAGCCAGATCCCCTTCATTCACACCCTGTCTAAACTTGTTACAACCTCCATACCTGCCACCACAGTCACCACTCTCTCCAGTCACCCATTCAGATTGCAAGCATTTGTTCAAGGCTACACTGATTCTTATAATCCACTCAAGGGTAACGAGCCTCTTCCTCCTTCTACATTTCCTCTAAAATACAAAAAGCCATCAGTAATGGATGATTCTGACTATCTCCATTTACTTGAATATTACCAAGTCGCTTACAACCTCCCAGACCTTGCCAGCTATCAGGACACGTCCTATAATCGCCCAGCACTTGACAATCAAATCATCAAATTGAAGTCAATTGACATTCTTGGTCAACACTATCGAGGAACAAACAACAGCACAATCAGTCATGGATCACTTGTTCAGGCAAAGTTTGTTGGTAGTAATGGAAACATTATACTTGGATTTGCTGGACAAATTCAGTATCTTTTTACACACTCCTTCCAACTTCCACCCACGCACAATCTCCATCTGACTCGCATGGTTCATGATCATTAACATGTATTCGCATTTATCAAGTGGTTTTGTACTTCCTCTGATAGGTTGCGTGAGGATGACGGTGTTGAATTTTGTTTGCCCATGTTCTCTCCTGATAGCTACCATAGCATTATACCTGTACATCGCATCTTATTAGAGGTTGCTACAGCTACTATTGCAACAAGTAGAAATGTTAGAAAAATGCTGGTAATTCCATTGCCAAAGAAGCTATATGCTTAAATAATAAATAAAGTGAACTTTTACATTTCTTTTTCTTTAACAAAAAAAACAGAGCGCGTATTTCTGATATATATATTGATAGTATTTTGTATGTGAAAAGTAATATATAGATAAAAAGAGAGAGGCAATTTTTGTTTATTTAATACCCGTCTCTAAGGGCCCACTGAGAAAATTTGGGGGTTATGTCATCTGGGACTGCTGTATTAGACACACTGGTGAAAACCCTCTCCTTCATTTGAGAAGCACTTGACCCCATTGCTTCAATAACATACTCCTCAACGAGTTTAATGAGAGTATTGAACTAAAATGATTTTGTTAATACTTCACTTTATATTTTTTATAATAAGACATAATTATTAATATAAAATAATATATCTCATCACTTCTCTATCCTGGCCAAACAATCTTGACAATGCTCTTCGTGCGATTCTCGAAGTCTTCATCTGCAGATTCTCCATCAAACATTGCTGCCATTTGCATTGTGAAGTCACAATATCTCTTCATTTGTAGATCAATTACTTCTTTATTGTCTGTGTATGCAAGTAAACGGCGAGTATGATTCTAATAGTAGTTTTTTTGTATTAGTATTTTTAAAATTCTCAAGACTAAACTATATTATTTTGAAATTATTTATTTAGAGATTACACTTACATCTCTGGCACGTCCTGCCCTTCTCGAACGAGTGTTTGTTGCTTTTATTTCCTCTTCAGTTTTTCTTGCTTTTGAAACCCGGCTGGTGAAGTTTTTGTGCAGTCTTGTTCTCAAGTCTGCCTCTCTAAATCCCTCATGGGTAAACTTGCGCTTCAAGTTTTCAAGAAGTCGCACCACCAACTCCTTGTTTGGCGACTTGTAAAAGAAAACATTTGTATTCCATCTGGGCTTACTCTCATTTGCCAGGATATCAGCTTGATTTCTTGTTTTCAGCTTGGGATCCCACATGAGATTACGAATATGGGCCTGATAGAATATATGAGAAAATACATTGATAAAATTTTGCACACGTTGATACTCACATAAACATTATTAGAGGCCTTCTTGCTAAACTCAGACGGGGCATTGAAGGCAGACTGAGAAACATTAGCCATTGTATTGGTAGGAGAAATGAGGGGGGCCCTGCTTAAACTGTCAATAGCAGTGATTGTCTCAGTGCTGCTGGTGGCAAGAACACCAATTCTGCTATTCATGTTTAGCAATGTATCTTCAACAGTGCCGATTTGTTCTTGTACAATCAACATGTCAGCTGCCATGTTGGTTCCCATGGCTGTCATATTAGTTTTCAAAGTAGAAAGAATTTTCATCAATTGTTCATTTGTAATCTCAACGGGACGAAGAGCAAGTTGACGTCTTTGAATAGTCATTGTCTACAGAATATAATAAAAGGTAAAAATGTAACTGTTAATTTTAGATTACATTGTTATTGATGCTATTATACAATTGAATTGAATTGAATTAAAAATAAATTATATCAAATTTACATACTTAAATTATTTGAAATAAAATGGGTTGATGTGTGTGTGTTTGAGTATGAGTGCAATAAGTAGCAAGAAAGCAGGAGAAAGAGTAAACAAATTGTATAAAATGTATGGTTTATATAGATATTCAGCATATCTTTGATATATAAGTCTCTATTAATACTTCTTGTAATCACTGAGATGCAAATCGGCTTTCATACTGCTTTAGAACCCAATTGATCAAACCAGTCTAGTCTTTTGTTTCAAATGCACTTTTCTTTTTTCTTTTTTTTCTTTTTTTGTTGTTGTTCCTGTTTCTCTTTTTTTTTGCTCTTTATATATGCTATTGGTCTTTTCTTTGTTTCTCTATCTCTGCAACTTCTATTATATTTGCGAACTATTTGTGTAAGACATGTTCTTTCTAAAAAGTCTTCTTTATAGAAAATAAAAGAATTTATTTATTCTGTTGCCATAGACACACTCTTCGTCACTGTCTCCACCCATTTTTTTATTTTTTTATTAGTCTTTTTTTTTAATCTGCTTTTTTAAAGTACTTTTTTTTATATAACTAAAAAGAATTAGTTGTTTCAGTTGCCATAGACACTCGCCCTCTCTTTTCTTTTTACTTCTTTCTTTCTCTTTTACTCTTATACTTGCAAATGTTCCTGGTAAGGTGCTTTTTTTCTTTATTTTTCTTTATTAGTAATTTCTTCAAATATAGCTGAGTAATAACAAGTGTTTCTGCTACCATAGTCACTCGCGTATAGTTTCCTTCTGATGCATCCTCTTCACAATGGCCATCCGGATTAGTTAAGGTTAGTAAATATACTTCATACCATCATCTCATAAAAGTATCCTGATTTTTTCCTTTCTTTTTTATAGGACATATCACCCAAAATATTTTCTACAGCTAAACACGACCACCAACACGGTAATATTTTTATCTATTTATTTATTATATTTCTCTTTAATATTAATCAAACTGAATCCAATTTTTACTATAGATGAACAATCCTCTCCAAAACATGCTATGGATCAAAAGCTTCTATCTCATGCTGCTGTCATTGACATGGTAAGACTTTTTTTGTTCTTTTACTATCCTTATATGTATCATTATATTACTTATACTGTTTATTAATAAAAAAACTACCAGATACTATATCGACTTTTGATAAGTATTATCTATATCTACAAATAAATCCGTTTGATTTGGGTATGTAAGTTAATAATTATATCGCCCAATTCACAAAAATTAATTTTTTCCAATCATTTTCATAGTCAAAGGAATCAAAATTCCGTAGCTTTACTTGTAATATTTTATTGTTTGGTCTTTGTACTGGATAATTCCAATGTAAGTATTAATGGTTTATAAGAATTGAAATATCCAACACACACGCACACCCATCACTAACGATTTATCTATTCTCAAAGAGTACTGCTCGTACCCCAAAAAAAACGTATTGAGCAGCTCATTTTTTTTTAGGTATTTCTTTTTTATAGAAAATTTTTCATCTCAAATATAACAAACCAACCGAGCAAGAAGTAGCTAGAGATATAGAATAGTATTATTAGATCTGAAACCTAGAAACATTCTATTCTTTCCAATAAAAATAAAAGCGTAAACCATTACCAGCCTAATAAGAATGGGAAACCAAATAAATAAAGAACATATTACTGGTCCATAATTTTAAAGACGCCTTTTTTTGCTGCTGATGACCAAACTTCTTAACAATAAACTAGCTTAAAGGTCACCTTTACGCTACTTTTAATCTTCATAATATGTCGGTGCCTGACCTTTATGGTTCCATATAAAGAATATCAAAATAGATATGCAGTTTTAAAAAACTTTCTTTTTATATATCAAGTCAGATAAGTATATCTAAAGTGCTAACAAACCTTACCTGCAGCACCCCCACCCACAATTCTGCTAGTTGACTCTAGTCATTCCACTATCTGTGAAGGTCACCTTCAGCATAAGTGGAAAAAAATCAACTAATTTAAATATGGAAATTACACTACAGTATACCCCATTTTTAAACTACCTTTTTTTTATTTTTCCAGTGTATAAGACAATTAAATTCATACCAATAAAAAGTATCTTTTATTCTCTCTTTGATTTTATGTATACTCTTTGATCCCCAGTGGGTTTGACCTTTTGACTTTGTTATAGTAAAAGGAAAATCAAACCCAGATCAGAAACGTCAACATAGTAAGTGCATGTTGGACCTTTTTATCAAGTCTCAATCTAGTATTTCTTTTCTGGCACTTGTAACTAAGTCGCAGAATCAATACCACCAGAGATTGTCAAGTTTATGAATAGTTTAGATAAGAATAAAGATACTTTTTATTAAATATATTTCTTGACTATTTATACAAATTGATACTTGATTTCTAGCTAAAAGAATAGCTACGTTAATATGTCTTAGATGCCTGTTGTCCAGTAATATCTACTACAAGTATATTCACCATCTTAAACATCTAAAACATATATGAAAGACCAATTGGCAAAGTCAAGATCTTTTATCCTAAAAAGTCAACTCTTACTGGTTGCTTATAACTACCGATTTTGTTCACCGATGTCAACTCTGACATTTTCAATTTACAAGTTTTGGGCAGAAAGTTATGAGTATCAAAAAATTACTTATAAATTTTTTCTACAGTATAAAGATAAGTGAAATTTGGAGAAGCTGGGCGTCGATCCCAGTGCCTCTCGCATGCTAAGCGAGCGCTCTACCATTTGAGCTACATCCCCACTGCTCTTTCACTTAAGCATTTTATTTGCCTGGTTCCAAAATTTTATTTTTGACGAATACACATATAAAGTGTATCCATCCATCAACATCTTTACGCAAAACGATCCATCCATCACGAAAAACGTACCTCCCATAGCCAAAAGTAGTGCAGTCCTTGTCCTTGGTATCCCAGCTGTCAGCAAAAAAAATTTCAGCTCAATCAGACAACATCACGCCATCTGCATTCTCAATCCCAATGGCCAATTTGCAAATCGGCAACATGCAGGGATTGCCAACCGAGCTTACCTCATTCCTGACAACATTGCAGGCACAAATCATGAATGTGCAAAACAGAACCGACCAGTTGGAGCGACTTGCAGCAGAGAATGCAAGACTAACTACTGAATTAGATCATGCTAGAACAACAATTGCTAATCTGCAGAAGCAATTAGGATCTCAGAGTGCACCTGAAAAAAACTTTTCAGAAATTTCACTTTCGAACCCAGCCGGCGCAGTAGGTGCTCCTGACAAAAACAAAGAACCAGGTCTGGAAGCCTCCACTTGGGCTACTAAAGCCAGTGTTTCTCTTCCTGTAACTGCCCCAAAAATGTCTACTGTTCCCTCTGCTCGCCGTATTGCAGCTTCTGTTCGTATGTTTGCTCTTCCCTCTGGTCCTTCAGGTTATGAATATGTTTATATTCCAAGATCAAGACGCCTTAAGCACAAAGAAGTCCGTTCCTCTCTCCGCACTCTTGGTGTGGATTCTTCTCAACTTTTGGACATTAACTTCCCAGCCAGAGGTGTCATTGGCATCCTTGTTCATGTCCAGTATGCTGATACATTTAAGGCCAAACTGACAACTGCTTCTGTTGAGATTTTGGACGCATTTGATCCACTTGATCCTGATAATGTTGCTGATCCCAAGTATGCATCTCTGTCCACTCATGAACTTGCCAACACTGCTGCCATGCTTCACCATGATAGATATCTCCAAGCCCTACAGTTCTTGCGCCCACACGTTGCTATCCCAGTTGGTCACTTCTTTTGTGAGGAAGGGTGGATCAGTGAAGATGAAATACCAACACGTACTACTCTTACCAATGCTACTGGCGGGTCTTTGTTCAAACGTCAGCGCAGCTCATCAGTCACTATGTCTGAATGAGTAATCTCAATATCGGATTATGGAATGCCAATGGTCTGCAACCCAGAGCCATTCAAGATACCCTTCAACACTGTCAGTCCTTACATATGCTCTTCATTACAGAAACATGGCTTCTCTCTCCCTCACATCTTCCCACATCATGGTCACAAATTCACTTGTATGGGTCTCCTGTAGCTGGCACCTATAGGGGCTCTATGGGTGTTTCTGTTCTCATATCACCTCACTGTCCTTATGCCATCACTCAAATACCTATGCCCTCCAAATATGCTCTGGCTGTCAAAATTGGCTCACTCAGAATTGTATGCTTATATCTTCCACCAAATATGCCTGTTGTGGGGAGAAAATAAAGCAAAATATAATATAGACGAAAGAATTCGTGAGAACTTGTGTAGGTTGTTTATTTCAAAAGAAAAGTAAAGAATGATAAAATTCGATTGTCTTTCTACACGGAACTATCTACTGATATTTATATGTTTTTCTAATTTGTAATTCAGTGTGTGCTTAAGTAATCTTTATCACGATGAGTCATATTCCAGGAGTATTGTTCTTCTAGAAAGATCCGGAAAGACCAATTGATATGATACTTCTCCAGTCAGATCAGTCCAAGAGTTTTGGTAAAGAAGAGCATTTATGCTATTGGTAATATTTTAGTATTCCGACCCAGATACTCGGGTAATGTTTCATAATATTAGATAGTTGTAGTTGTAGTCTCTCAATTAAGTATTTGTATAATAAAAGAAATATGTAGATGAAATATAATGATGCCATATATATAATGTATATGTATTTGTATATCCCATGTCATGGTGATAATAAAAAATAATCAATTATGTGTATGATGATCTGTGTATTAGATAATATCATAAAGGGAGATCCGTTTGACTGGAATAGCTGAGGATATTATTTTATCCTTCAGTCTTACTCTCAGATTCAGCAGTAATCAATACTCATTCACAACAATGCCCACCTATGATGTCCTACATGTACTCTCTTCTATTCCTTTAACACATGATACCATTCTTTGTGGTGACTTCAATGCAAGACTTGGCTCTGTTACTGGTGACTATGCATCAAATTCTCATGGACTGGCACTATGTTCTTGGATAGAAGAGAGATCTCTATCAGTTGTAAATGCAGATCTTGCACCTTGCATACCAACATATATTTCTTTCTGCAACAACTATGAAATCAGCAGTATTATTGACCTCTTTATAACTAATATGCCACTCATCAATCCTTCTCTTCATATTGCTACTGACTTGTCTCTTGGATCAGATCATCACCTTTTATCACTTTCCTTTACCTATGATCTACAGCACTCTACCAATATGCTACCACCATTACGCAAGACATGGAACCTCTTACGCCTCAATGAACCTGATGTCCATGCTCTTTATGCTCATACCTTCAATCAAAACTCAACCTCCCTCCTTTCCACCTTGCAAGACATTGTACAGAATCCACCACTCACTAGACCTAACATTGATGCTATCACTGATGAGTTCAATTCACTCATTTATGACTCATTAAATAGCTCAATTGGACATCGACCCTCTCGCCCAAATCATTGGAAATCCTTCTGGAATGTAGCTTTGCAAACAGCAGCAGATCGTCGTAACCAATGTTACAAAAAATGGCGCCTAGCAATAGGTATTGACAAAGTTGTTTGGTGGACTAAACACAAGCATGCACAGGCCGAATTCCAATCTCAGGTTCAGCAAGCAAAACGTCAGTCTTGGCATGTCTTTTGTCAGTCTATGGAACGTGACTTCAGCAAAGCAACATCAAAGATAAAGCAGTTAAAACGCTGTAGACAGCCACAACATACTTTCCAGCACGATGATGGACCAGCCGTAGCAGCAGCAACAATGTGTGACTATTTGGCAACAGTATATAGTGGACATATACTTCCAGCAACCCGACCACCAGCACCAATGACCACTTGTAACAGTGTGCCTTTTGCCTCTGATGACTCTCCCTTTACCTCACCAATTGTAGAGGAATTCATGCAATTTATGCCTAACCGCAAGGCACCAGGACCAGACCATATCAGAGCTGAAATGCTAAAACCTGTAAAAACACATGTCTCACCCATTCTTACTTTATTATTTACAGTTTGCTGGCAATGGTCATATGTTCCAAGTTTGTGGCGCCAAGCCCAGATCTTCCCAATCTTCAAGAAGGGTAGTCCAACTGACCCGGCAAACTACCGACCAATCTCCTTGACCTCTGTACTGCGTAAGCTTTTTGAGATGTGTATAGCCCCCCAGTTGCACAAGTACTCTCCTCCTTTGGATGTGGCTCAAGGTGGTTTTCGTCCTCGCCGTGGTGCTTTGGATCAAGCTCTCTGTCTCCATGATCTGATGAAAGCCTATTATCACCGTCATAAGCACTACCCTGTTGTTGCATTTCTGGATATCAAGGCTGCCTATGATACAGTGGATTGACGAATCATCTGCCATGCTTTACAAAAACGTTGCACTCCACCGGCACTTTTGGGTCTCTTGGTTAACATGTTTGACAATGTCTCTATTTGTGTCCTTTTGGGTAACTTTTCTTCACACTCATTCTCACCTGCCACTGGGGTTCTCCAAGGTTCTGTCCTCAGTCCACATCTGTATTCAATATATATCAACTCCCTGCCCCCATTGCTCCGCACAGTTGCTCACTCACAAACTACAACCCATGTTCCATCACCCTCTCCTACCTCATTGGATGCATATAATGCTCTTCTTGCTCCTTCAGGTGTAGATGGCTTTGGACATATTCATTTCTCAACACCCATCAATTCTCTGCTCTTTGCCAACGATGTAGCTATTTTTGGTTCTCTTTCAGACGTTCAGGCCATGCTAGACCTTGCTGCAGACCACTCTTTTACTCTTGGATATCGATGGAGCCCCACCAAATGTGAAGTTATATATCCCAAAACACGTGCAAGCTCGCCAGTTTCTCTTCTTTTATATGGTCAAGTTCTCCCTGCCACTGACCTGTTTATTTATCTGGGTGTTCCTTTTGCCAATAAGGGTATTTCTTCCAAGTCCATTGCCACTCATAGACGTTCTGGTACACTTGCTACAATGGCAACCCTAAACTCTGTTGGTGCTTGTCGTTCTGGTTTTTCTCTGCTGCTCAGTTCACGATTGTATAAGACCTTTGTCCACCCAAAATTTGAATATGGTTTGGCGATCTCCACTCTACTGAAACAAGATATCAAAGTGCTGGAGTCCATTCAAGATAAGTGTCTTCGCATGATCGTTGGGGGGCATGTCACGTCCTCTACAATTGTGTTAAAGCACATCTGCAATCTGCCAAGTATGAAGTTTCGTGCCGATGCTCTTATGGCCAAGTTCTGTATAAGATCACGCTTTTTGCCAGCCCAGTGCCTTCTGTCTCTTTTGCACCATCATCATACCGTCTATTCTTCACTTGTCTCCTTGGGAAAAACCCATCTTCTGTCCAATCTCCCTCCAACACTCAAACTTCGAAGCCCTAGTGCTGTAAAAAATCATTTTGAAAGCATTAGAGAAGCTGGATTTGCAAT